CTGTGTATTGTTCTCAACGTTATGTGCAAAGTTATCCTGAATCGGATACAGGAGAAGATCGACGCGACTCTCCGACGGCAGCAGGCAGGATTCCGTGCCGGAAGATCTTGTGTGGACCATATTGTCACGCTCCGCATAATCCTGGAGCAGGTCAATGAATTCCAAGAGTCCCTTTATTTGGTATTCATTGACTACGAAAAAGCTTTCGACCGTCTCAATTACGAGAATCTGTGGGGCGCCTTGAGACGCAAGTGAGTCCCGGATAAAATCGTCAACCTCATCGAAGCGCAGTATGGGGCTTTCACGTGCAGAGTTCTGCATAACGGAGCCTTGTCCGACCCTATCCGGGTAGTCGCTGGTGTGAGACAAGAATGTATACTATCACCACTACTGTTTCTCATCGTAATCGACGAGATCATGGTAGGTGCAATTGACCGTGTACCGAACCCTGGGCTGCTATTGGCAGCCTATCACCATGGAGCATCACCCAGCGAGACGTGGTGTGTATCAGCGGAGAACACTCAAAAGCTGCAGGTCTTCATCAACCGATGCCTGTGGTATATTATTCGTGCCTAGTGGCCTCACAACTGGATCTCGAATGCCGAGCTCCATCGTCGATGTCATCAGAAGCCGATAGCAACAGAAATTCGAGAGCGAAAGTGGAGGTGGGTCAGCCACACACTTCGACGGGGCGGAAACGAAATCTGCAAGCAAGCGCTGGATTGGAATCCGGCAGGGCATCGCAGCAGAGGCAGACCCGGGGCTCATGGCGGTGGAGCCTCAATAAGGAAATTAAGCAAGTCGATAGGAATTTGACCTGGGCCCAGGTCAAGGCAAAAGCGAGCAGCCACCCAGGATGGAAGTCTTTCACGTTGGCCCTTTGCACCGCTGGTGGTGCACAGGACCCTTAAGTAAGTAAGACACAGACAAAACGATTGCTACGACTACCATGACAAACTCGCACTAAACGAAACGAAACACTATCTACCTACCTACCTACCCTCTTCTAAGTCCATTCCCTAGCTACTAAATTATCACTCTAAAGCTTCATGTTAGATGACATTTCCAACGAACTCTGAAAATCGCAAACTTCGCGTATGAAGTAAGATAAAAACACTTTGAATGCAAAAATTCTTGCTCTGTCAATTGTTATGTACCCAAGGCTTATATATCATGTATTTTTCTTAAGCTTTTTTTAATATAAATATTAACAATTGATTCAAACACTTATGTTGTCACAAAATAAAAAAAATGCGTGTATTTTTACTTAAAAGACTATACTTGTTTCTACAATTTTGTTTCAGACGACTTTTCGACTAGAAGAGACATTTTTATGCCACGATTTATTGAAAAATGTATAATTAACCGGCTGAGCTTATTTTAATATTGAAAAATACCGAATTTTAGCAAAAATGTGAATGATTGTCCATAACAAATACTTTTCCAAAGTTTCATGCAAATCGAAACTGGTCAAGTCTGATCGATTCGTCATTCGGCGTTTGCAGCAAGCACAATCTTAATTTAGTACGATTGGAACTCGCAATGTATTTCAGGTTGTGGGATTTTCAGTCTAGCGATGGATCAAAACGCATTCTATGTATTACGTCTAAAGGTCAACACATTCGAAAGGCGTACTACTGCAAATGCCTACACCTCAAGCAGACCAAGAACCTACGTGCAGATAGCTAAGATAACAGTAGAGGCGATCTGTTTGAGTCATGTCTTTTTGGTCACTTATTTTGTTTTATGTGGAGTGAACTTGTGCTATAAATTATTCGACACAAGCTCCAAAAATCCTTTCGAGCAGCCATTCAATTTCTGTTGACTGTTGCCCTAAAATCTCTAGTAGCATTGAGTAATTTCACAGTGAAAGAGTACTATCCTCCTCACCCATTTTTTTTTTATTTCACTGCCATGGCTGAGCCTCTTCAAACAGAAACCAGAGCAGCATCACAAACCATCACGGCAGTGACGTGCAGTGCGTGGAAAGTCAAGGTTCGCCCACTCACATGCCTTTTGCTCTATCGGCACCGCCGTCTCTTCACGTCATCATCATCGCTCTCGCATCGTCTCCTTGACATTGGTCCTCATCAATTCATTAGACCATCAATCATTTGTTCTTCTTTTTTGCCGCCACTGCGGAATTTTGAGTGGATTATTGCCCGATTTGGTGTTCAGGTCAAAATCAAGAGCACCTCGACAAGAGTTTTCGCAAAGCGTGGAGAAAGGAAACTCATCTCATTTGCTTTGCTGCTAGATTAGACTGCTCTGTCAGTAGAAGAATACCCTCGTCATGCAATCTAATTCAGATCTGTCACTTGGCGCTCAAGAGTAATTGCCTCACGTTCTCGTTTGAGATCACTTAATTGTACCATCGGAGTCAGTCAAAGTGATGAGTGCTCCAGATGTATCACAGCAGATTTGAGCCTAAGCACAATCAAACGTAAATGTCGATTCCATACGACCTCCCTCAGAGTCCCCGTTCCAAACGAATGACTTTTAAGCTACATTTCAAACGACGCGATTCGATTGCACATGACTGAGCTCTGAAGCCCCACGAACTTTGTGATTATTTGGCAATAACGAAAAATTTGAACTTGAGGACACTTTGCTGCGCCAAAAGCAGCGAAAGCATCGAACTTTGGCAATAAAAATAGATATTCCTTTTCCCATTCTTTGTTTTCCAGTTGACTTGCTTTAAACGAACGAACGTATGTGCTTATCTGGAATTGAAAATTTCAATTGCTACGAGCGAAAGTTTTCGATTTTTTGCTACCTCCTGACTGTTGTTACTTTCTGTCTGAGTGCTGTTGACTGTCTTCCACATGGACAAGGGGGACATGTTAGTTATGTGAATGGATTTGGCGTTCCTGCGAACAACAGGTCCAGAACTGCAACAAGTTGGAGGGTCAAATTGGGGATATTATGGACCGTTCAAGGATTGTCGTTACGTTCCTAGAAGAAATGGGTCACTGTTTTCAATAAATAATTCGGTAAAATTACCCATTTGATGCTGTCTATTGTGGTAAAACGATTAATCTAACTTCAATGAACAGTTACAAATCGTTGCTGACTCTAACTTCAGTTGGCAAAAAAAATTTACATAATGGTCGTTTAACCGAATCACAAAATAAAATCATTCTTAATCTTTCGAAACACGAGCCATTCAACGTGCCGCAACAGAAACGAAAACAGAAAGTTCATCGTGCCGTGTAAATGCCACCGACAACGGACAGTAGCGCGACATTGTCCAAAATGGGAAAGTTTCTTATCCCCCGGCTTTCTCCCGCCTCCACTTCCGGTGATTTCTTTTCACTCAACCTTCTCTCGGATCCTCGGAAGAGGATAAATCTCCCTCCAAGGATCAATCTTGGAAAGAATCCCCTCGTCCTTCCCTTTCCAACACATTGTTCCCTAACCTTCCTCACGTAGGTAGCACTTTATCAAAACGGAGACGGTGGCAATCGGGGACTCAAGTTGTTGCTTTTATTATGCTGTGATAATCATCGCCCATTGTCACCGTAATCATCGTCATCATCGTTTAGGTGACACACACACCCATACAAGTACAACACAAAATGGACTCCGCCTACCGAGGCGATATCAAACTGACTCGGAAACGAGCCGCACGTCACGTCGTCGTCATCGTCTTCTAAGGGATGATGAAGTTTTGGACCGAAGAAAAATAAAAGTATAGACATGACAACAATCGATGCTGTTCCCGAAACAGGATACAAGCCCAAGGATTATAATTATCTGAACATTATATCATCCGGGACGTTATTGGCTTTCGGGAGTGCGTGCTGAAGGAGCGAAATTTGAGGACGGCAGATGTGGAGGAGGAGCAAACAATGCATAATTGGGCTGGGATTACAATGGACTTGGGCGGACGTGCCGGCCGACTGATGAATCGGACCGTTTCCGGTGGTAATGTCAGCAAAAAATCTATGATTTTGATTTATGATTAATTGACAAACTGTACGGCATTGTATGAGGTGACTTCACCTGAATCCATAGCAAATTTATCAATGGGTGAGGCTCTCGGCTAAACTTCCCTTCGGAAAAAAAAACGTGGAAAAAGATTTTTTGTCTTTGAAAATCCTGACGAATCCGGATCCACTGAAGCGAAATGACCGACACGATGAGATTATTTGATTTTAAATTTTCTGATGATAACGGACCCAGTTCTCTGCTTTGTTTATTGTATTTATCTGTTTAAACTGTTCTGCTACACAGATCTGTTGTATAGTTTTCTTTACAGTTTGTACATCTGGTTTTCCTGATGTTGTTATGATTTTCATAGCTGAAATCGTGACCTTTGACGTGAGATAAATGGATGGTCAACACTACACCGCGTCGATCCCCAAAGGGTTCTGCTATATGCTTTTCTGTTTATCACAACCAGATGAATTCTCATGAATGTGGGCGTGGACTGGCCCACATATATATGGGGAAATTTTAAAGTAGGACTACGTCTGTGATTTCTATGTGAAAGTACACTTTGTGAAAACCAAAAATGGAACATGTAACAAAATTATGAAAGATTTTGAACGTTAATAACGCAGCTGCCTTTGGACCAATTTAATTAATTTTATCACCAATCGATCAAAAATATTTCTACGCATCTGTTAAATTTAAGACTTTATCATTTTCAAAATTTCACTGTTGAAAATTGCATGAATGTGCAACTGTTGCTTTGATAATTAAAATTATCTCCGATTACCTGCGAAAAGCGATTTCCCTAACACGGATTTCAAAGTTGAATTCCATCCGGTCTCACCAAACGGTGTTTACTCAATCACCGCGTGGTGAGTGGTGGTGTTCTCTAGTACACAACGAAAGGCTGCCTGCAAGCACTGTCTTGTCCTGTCCTTTACTGTCCTGTAAGTTGATTTGTTTTCTAGGGGTGTTGATGAGATACTTGAAGTTTATTTCGATGCTTCACGTTGCTGGATTTAAGAGTTATAACTAATTTCTCGTTTTGTATTTTCTCATTTCAGATTTATGGCAGCTGATTCGTAAGTACAGAATTAATTACATAAGGAATCATTTGATAAGGAATTCCCTGATAACGTTTTTTTTTAAATAAATTGTTGATTTTGATGGAGTTCAAAAAGCCAACCCGAGAAATATCTGAATAGTTAAGAAAAGTTTTTAAGCTAGAGTGAGATTGACTCTCAATTTTCCGGTGAATTGATTATTATTGTTGTCATCGTTTCTCAGTTTCTGTACCCTACATATCCATTTCGAGCGAGATAAATCAGAAGATAGCGAGAGCAAGGAATAGGGTATAGGTGTAATCATTACGAACTCGATTATTCTCATGGAAGTTTGTATGTCAGTTTCTTGTATGCAATATTGTCCTTTTTTTCCTTGATTTATTTTCCGTCGATCCTGTTTTCCGTGCTGAGCACCAATGCTCCCACACCCGGACCCGAAAGAAGGCGTGATCAGATATGTTATGCCTCAGAAGAAAGAATGAAGGAGGGCGTTGGAAACAAGAGAAAGATATGGACAAGAGGTGGTGGATTAGAAGGAGGAAGGTGGAATGGGCTTAGGTCAAGGGGAAATTTACCGGGTCAAACTGAACAGTAGGTTCTCTTTTTCTTCAGCCATTGCGCGAGATACTTCGATCTGCCAGTTTATTACGAGTTTAATAAGTAATGAAGTGAAAAGAGTCCCAAATAAATACCGACAAATAACGCCAAATACGGAGCCAGGTAGGACCCAATTAAACCCAGAAGCGAAATTCCCAGCCCTAAGACCACCTCTTATATTCCCCCCAGGACGAATTAAATATGGGCTAAAATTCCATTGCATCCGTTACAACACCGTGAGTAATTAAATGAAATAAACAAGTCAGGAGGCGACCTTGAAGCTCTAGGGTTTCGAGCTCGACCTAGCCAACAAAAGAGGCGAGTGTAGCCCACCCCAGACGATCTCCGTGGCTAGCCCAAAGGTCAGTAGAATCCCTTCAAACTAGCCCATCTGGCTGGCCCTTAACATTGCGTGAATTGTAAACATGTTAAAAGTATACCCATTATCAATGCGATTTAATCAGAAATTTTAACTACATTCATTTTTTTTTTATTTGGTCCAAATTAAGAACAATTACACTAAAAATGGGTGAAATTGTAGACCTTTACTGTGTATTATAATCTACAGCAAATCAGAATCTATTATTGTAACCTTCTGTCGGTTCAACGCACTGCAAAGCCCCCACTGTTTTGACTAGAGCATTTGATTGGAAACTACTGACACTGAGATTAAGACTCTTATTTTATTAGCTCCTAAACTAGTCAATTCTTAATTAGAATCCCACTGACGGACCCGTCGATAGCCAGATGAACGTGGTCGGACAGTGATGTACCCAACAAACAACTCAGAGTCACAAATAAGCATAAATATATATATATTGAATAAATGCTTTATAACAATGTACAATACTGAATAAAACGGGTTGTCAAATTATGTGCTGAAAAAACCTCATTGAGATCGATAGATGCGCCTTTATTCCGCTGCTGGCTCTGATTTTAATAATATACTTATTAAAAGCTATACAAACGATGACTGTCTTCCTGCTTCAACACCAGAAGTTTGATCTAATAACATACTGAATAACATACATTGACGCTTTAATTCGACTGTTTTCAATTGATTTAATAACATTCTTTATTAGACGTCTAATAATTGTTTTCAAGCTCCATTATTAGATTCCATTGCATTGATTAACAATATTGCTGAATAAAGGTGAATACAGTCAGCATAATAGCTCTTATACCACTATGCGTCCATGTTTTAATTGCATGCTTTGTAAATGCTTTACAAACGGCGTATTCATTAATTATTCCGCAACACTGTGTCAGGCTAAAAACAAAGCGAAATTGGTAGCATAGTGGTAACCGTTTCCGCTTTCCAAGAATAGGTCGTGAGTTCAATCCCAACTCAACCCTTTTTTTATTTATTTTCTACGCCTAATTTATTTAAATCGTAATCATAGATCGTATCACTCACGACAACCAATTCATACCGTACCTTACCAATCAGACTAAGGCCTTGTTGTCCTCTGCTGTCCGAAAAAGTCTCTACTCTACTCGATCCATGGCCACACTTCGCCAGCCTCGTACTCTGCGATGGGTCCGCAGGTCGCCTTCTACTTGGTCGATCCACCTTGCCCGCTGCGCGCCTCTTCTTCTTGTTCCTGTTGGGTCGCTTTATAGAACCATTTCCACTGGGTCGTCGTGCGGCATTCTTGCGACGTGCCCAGCCCACCGTAGTCGCCCAATTTTTGCAATGTGGACGATGGATGGTTTTCCCAGCAGCTGGTCCAATTCGTGGTTCATTCGCCTCCTCCACGTTCCGTCATCCATCTGCACTCCCCCGTAGATCGTACGCAACACCTTCCGTTCAAAAACACCAAGGGCGCGTTGGTCCTCCACGTGCATAGTCCAGGTCTCGCGGCCGTAGAGGACCACCGGTATAATCCGCGTCTTGTAGACAGTCAACAGACAGCGGCGGCGATATTTTTTTTCGACCGGAGCGTCCTCCGGTGTCCAAAGTAGGCACGATTCCCTGCCATAATGCGTCTTTGAATTTCTCTGCTGGTATCATTTTCGGCGGTCACCAGTGAGCCCAAATACACGAACTCATCGACCACCTCGATTTCGTCACCGTCAATTTGAACTCGGGGTGGGAGGCTAACAGTTCCATGCCATGATGTTAATGTCATCGGCGAATCCAAGAAGCTGGATGGACTTCCTGAAGATCGTGCCACTCTTGTTTATCCCAGCTCATCTGATCACACCTTCTAACGCGATGTTGAATAGCAGACACGAAAGTCCATCACCTTGCCGTAACCCCCTTCGAGATTCAAAGGGACTCGAGAGTGTCCCCGATACTCGAACAACGCACATCACTCGATCCTTCGTCGCCTTGACCAATCGCGTCAGTTTATCCAGAAATCCGTTCTCGTGCATAATCTGCCATAGCTGATCTCGATCGATTGTGTCGTATGCGGATTTGAAATCGATGAACAAATTATGTGTGGACACGTTGTATTCGCGACATTTCTACATGACCTGCCGAATTGCGAAAATTTGGTCCGTGATAGCGCGGGCACCCATGAATCCCACCTGGTATTGCCCCACAAACTCTCTTGTAAATGGTGACAGGCGGCGGCATAGAATTTGGGAGAGTCCGAGCAAAGTCTGAGATCAAATTGAAATCTGAATTTGATGTTGTGATTTCGCTGATAATGATTGCTCAGGTTGCTGTCGTTTTGGTCGTTTTAACGGTTAAAATATCAAAATTCAGAGCAAAAAAATCTTCCTGTGACATCACATTGAAAACTATTTCTGCAATCAGTGAAAGCAAACTGAAAACTCAATTTGATATCAATTTTTCCTGTTGATAACAAAACAAGTATTCACTTTGATGTTATGCTAAGGCAATGAAAACAAACCCGCAACAACATATTTTTGAAGAGCAAATGTACAGCAAAATGAAAACAAAATTTGGCATCAAATTTGTCAATTAATCAGCCCACGGGCATGTTGAGCAGCGCTGCTCTAAGGGGAAGAATCACTGACAAGGAATTAATATGATAGGAAAAATATGACAAACCGTGGGAGAACATTTTTTTTCCCAAAGTTTCGGTGTGATGTAATTTGTGACTATGGTATAACCAGACCCTCCCGGTTAACTAACTCAGTAGCATGAGACCCTTTCACTGTGTCGTAGGGTCGGCACGTTACTGGATATTCGGAGGGGCTACGCGCGCAAAGTATGAAAACAAGAATATTCACATTTTCTATAACATTTATTGCCCTATTCTGTGGCGTGTGGGTGTGCGTTTTCACATATATGTATGTGGCGTGTGTGCGAGGGTTTAAAATTGGCACTGTATTCACTGATGCAGCGGGATCTCCTACGGCGTTGCGACGCTGGCGTTGGCCCACACGGCTGCTCCTGCACTACCGTGTGGCCGGAAACTTGCGACGCGGGCTGCTAACAGTGTTTCGTTGCAAAATTGGGAGAATGACGGATCTGGTGGCGTTCATCAGCCACATACGGCTCAGCAGGCGTTGCTGGCTCGTTTGGCTGGCAGGCGTCTTCCGTCGTTGACGGCATCGGCTGACCGTTGCATGGCCACCTTGATCGAGCCGAAACGGGACCCTCCTTGGCGATTAAGGCCACCGGCCTGAGGGAATCGTCCCTGACGGACGATCGGCCATCTTGACTTCCGAACCGAGCCGTGTGAGACCGTTTTATTTACAGTACGAGGTCCTGAGAATTATCATAATTCAGGGAAATTTCCGTCAGGATAATAAAAAGCAAATTACCTGAACAGAGGCAGTCCAACATCCCAGAAACCCCACTAGGGGGGGGGGGGGGGGGTACACGAAATGGCACTGCACTTTACGATACCGTTCTAGACAGACGACTGATTACTTCTCCTTAATCTTCCAAATCTAAGATGACTAGCTATTCACCATCCAATTTGCGCATCCATTGTTATTTTAAAGCCAAGATTTTCCTCCGTTCAGTAATGTTACGTTTTTGTTCTTTGCAGCGGCACAAGCCCTCTCGCTCTTGTGTGTGTCTATTGTTTTAGGTTTGACAAATTTTTGAATTTTCCCAAACAACAATAACTCATACAGAAGAAAATCCACGGATTGTAACCAACTGGTTACAAATTATTTGAAGCCTTACATTAAGTTCAGACTAAGACAGGATTGGCCTATTCTGAACATAGAAGACATCTCCATTCCACTCGATCCATGGCTGCATATCGCCAATCAGGTTATTTGCGGAGACATAGCATATCGTATTCTTGCTTGTCAATTCAGCGAGCTCGAAATTTGCGTCTCCGTCAAGTTCCAGTCGTATTGTACTCTAGAACTTTCTGAGGCGTCATCAACAATCTAATCACGTAACCAGTTCAATACAGTAGACCAGTATTTTCATTAGCCTTCCCCACGATTCATTCTTCTTCTGCACTACAAAGGCAATATGTTAA